CTTTGGGCACGTAATTAGCACACTTACACGATCGGAAAATGCTCTGGTCAACACATCCCCTCGTTGCCCCTTGTGCTTTCTTTGGCAAATTGGAACGTGTCCATCAATAACTGTAACAAGGCCTCTTTCACTGAAGCAAAAGCGGAAGTGTTCCAAGCCACATTTCCGCCTGGCCAGCAATACGTATGGCCAACAGAGAAATGTCCAAAAGTGGCACAAAGCCAAGACCATCCAGCTGAACAATGGGAGCAGCCGGCGGAGACTTGAGAGATCTTAGAAATCAACAAAGTCAAGTGGATCTACATATATCGATGGAGATCGGAATGGAGGAGGTCTGGCAGCGATCGAGATCAAGATATAGAGATTTGGTTGACCTCACAGATAGAAAATAAAGAATTATTATGCAAAATGTTTTTTTTGTGGGAATAGATATCAAGCAGAGGATTTGAAAGTAGAAAATTATCTTTATCTGAATTTGATGGATTTGAAGTAGCATATTTTTCCAAAATTGCTTTTATTAAATGTTTGAAATAATACTTTAGAAATGAATAAGTTTTATGGCTATTAATTTCCTAGATTTTAATATAAATGTGTCTATAAAATTCCCAAAAATTTAGTTCAGTACTTTACAAGCAATTAAGCTCCCTTCTTTAAACCTCCTTTATCTATCTTTTTTTAATTCAAATAGAAATATATTTTTATACATATTGGTATATATATATATATATTATCTATAAAAGTTGACTTGGCGCGCGCGCCAACAACAAAGTATATACATTGTAGAAGAAGAAGCCGAGAGAAAAAAAAAGTGGGCAAACTAGTTTTTTGGTATCCGAGCATCCGTTGGCTCAGGTTGTGGCTGTAGTTGTGGCCACTGCCGCTTTGAGGCATTTTTCTCAATGGAGCTCCCCTCTCAGATTGTAGACTTGAACACATTTTTTAGGTGAATAATTGCGGTATGCTGCTGCTGCCGTCCATTGGTTGTTTTTTATGCAAATATTTTTATATTTATATATGTGCCTATCTGTGTCTGCGGCATCCAGACACACTTAACCGATATATACATACAAATATTGTCTACTCTCTTTCAATATTTGCTTGTCTTTTTTATATGATTATTATTATTATTTGTTTTTTTTTTTGTGCCCTCGCGGATCGCATTGAATAATTTCTATATTTAGCATAAAAAATTCCATCATTGAGAGAAAAAGCATAGATTGAAATTATGAAAACATGATATGCGAAATCAAGGGAAGCCACTCGATTCATTAAGGGATTAGAAGGTATAAACTTGTCTTGGAATAACAAATAAATATGTGTTTTTTACATAATCCGTACAAGACAAAATATGTTTCCCATTTGATCATTGATTCATTCAAAGATTTGATTCAATCAATTCCCTAGAAGTCGACCAATTCTGGGTAAGATCAGTGATTGATCAATTAGAAGGTTCCATGGAAGTTTGTTCCCCATTAAATTAACGATAGTTCTCATCGTAGAAATTCATTCACTAGAATCACAAAATTTGAGGCAACTGAGTTGGTTCATTCACCAGAAAACGGATACCCAACTTCCATTGATGGTTTCTGTGAAAAAATTAAATCAAAACTGATGAGCATAAATTTAAACGACAAAAAAAAAAGCAGATCAACGATCAACAAAACTAGTTCTTAGATGTTCAAATTAAATATTGTCAAATCATGGCAAACATATCGGATGTATTCATTAGCATAAAAATTCCATAAATTACCATCATACAGAGAGGTGTGGCCAGCGGCCAATGAGAGATTTAAAGATTTATGTAGACATGTTATTTCATAAATATTTATTGCGCTATTTGGCATCAGGCAAACTCTTCTTTCGTGGCATTGTGGCCCACAAAAAGCGTTTTCACACCTGGTCGCATTCTAAAACGCCCACAAAACAGAACCAAACTTGGTCAAAAAAAAACTCTCGGAAACGGAAGAGTTGTTTATGCTGGGATCCATGCTTGATTTGTTTATGCATTTCCCAGTCAATTGGAATTTGTGGCAGCCTCTTTTGATATTCCCCTTCCCATCGCTTTGGCTATAGCTTATGGCCATGCCACGCGCACACACATCGAACCGACGAACCGTCGACTTGTTTAGGCCAAATATGCGTGGCTGATCTGTTTGTATATGGCCAACAAATTGCCCGATCTTTGTTGTTGTTGCTGTTGTTGGCTTTATCCATTCATACATTTGGACGGTCTGTCGCTTTGGCATTCATTCATTCATTCATTCAGAGATTGACTTGCCCAGCCAAGCGAGAAGTTGAAGTCGCTGACGTAGCAGTTGCTCCGTTGCTCATCCAGCGTTTACGTTTTTCATTCACTTAAACACACATGTACACAGGGAGAAAAAATAGTATTTATATGCTTAACATAACTTTATTAAAGCTTTATTATATTAACTAAAAGAGCATTGATTTAAAATGTAGAAAATAATAAATAAAAAATATTGAGGGTTTAATTCAACATGATCAACATGATCAGCATCAAAAGCCGAGTCGATCTAGAAACCCTCCAGCAGAAAATACAAAAATTGGCCAAAATAAAAATGTTTAACACACAAAAAACTCCAAAAAATAAGTTAAGTTAAATTTCCCATTTTTTCAAAATTTTAAAACGGCTAAAATATGATTTTATATAAGAAATTACTTCTTTTCTTTCCCTGTACCTACTCACACATTCACCATCTGCAGACCCCTTTGCTATGCCCACTCCCCCTTGAAGTTCACCCATTATACCAAGCCATATCGTACCATGCCATGCCATACCATCACCATCATTATGATCATCATCATCTGGTTCTTCATCATCATCTTCATCATCGACTTGGTTGTAGTCGTCGTGGTCGTATTTCATTCATGAATTTTCTTTCATTCAGGTCTTCCCCTTCTCACTTCCCCTGCCCCCCTGCTCTGCTCTGGCCCGCTCTCTGGCTGTTGTTGAAAACGTTTTTAAATACCGGAACTGAATGTTTAGCGCTTTTAAGCATGGGAACTTTTTGTTTTCTTCTATCAACTTTTCTCTCCCAGCAGCCTCCTTCCTCCCTCTGTCTCTGTCGCTGCTGCTGCTGCCTTTTGTGGATCTATTCCGTTGTGTTCTATTCTCCAATAAGGCGTTTTTATTGCAAGTTTCCAAACAACAGGAATTCTCTGCTCAATTTTAGTAGTCTCTTGCATTCTATTTGTTTTTGTGTGTTTTTGTCTATTTTAGGTGTTGTGTTGTGATCTTGCTTTGTTATGCTTTTTTTTATATGCGTTTAGAATTTATTGCAGACATTCGGATTTTAAAATTTATGAGCCAAGCCGAAACAGAGCATATTGGCTTAAAAGAGGGTTAATTTTCTAGGGGTTAAGAATGAGGAATATCAAGTTTCAGATCGATAGTTTGTAATACATCCTATTAGATATTATCTATTATAATCTAAAAGCGTTCGTTTTAAAGATAGTTGATTCTGTCTTAGGGTATTCCCACGTCGAACCTTTTTGGTGCCCAGCCCCATTCCTTACTTTGTTTATATTGTTAATATTTTTCTTTTGATTACTGTTGATATTTCACGCCTCGACCTCGCAGCAATGAAATATAATATATATGGTATATACACCAACCCAGAATTCGATTTACAGGGCGTGTTTTTTCCATATGACATTTGACATAATAGATTTCCGATACATGATATATGGCATGCCTCTCGGCCTCTTGATTTATGGCCAGAGAGATCGGGATCGGTATCGGGAGTGGAACAATGAATGGGGAAAAACCGACTTGACTTGACCTATGATCAGAATTCGCATTGTAATGGATTTCGTAAGAAAGATAACGTGTTGGATCTGTGGCAGTTCTCGGTTCTTTTTTGGTTGACCGTTTGAGCGACCGGCTTAGTCAGCAGCATTGAACTCTTGACCCGGCCGGCTAATTGGTTTTGGTATCTCGCTCTCATATAGCGTTCGGCTATATAGCAATTGCGACTTTAATTGATCAAATGCGACAGCCAGCCAGCAGCAGCAGCGGCTCTTGGCTGCAAACAACTTTCATTTTTCATCTAGAGCGAGTGTGTGTGTGTTGTGTTGTGTGGTGTGTGCTTTGCTGTTGCAATTAAATGTGCCATATGCGTGTGCTGATATATGGATAGTGGTTTTGTGGGTGTCAAGTGTAATGGCTATAGGGCGGCTGCTAAATATAGCCAGAGGCCTGAGGCGGAGTTACTTGAGAAAAGCTGAGACCCAGCCCAAAAAAATAAATACAAAAAAAAAAAAGCTGAGTTGCATTGCAAAACCTGCTGCTACAGGGAGAGAAATATGTGGATACTTGAGGGGAAAGATTGAATAATTTAAATATATGAAATTTGATATAATAAATGACTTTATAATATATCTCTCTTTGAACATTTAAAATACATTACATCCAATTAGACTATTTCATATTTACATTAACATATTTATTGATATTTTCTGTGAGAATTTATTTTATTTTAACTCCAAAGTAAATTTGTTTTTAATATAAAGAATCTTGTTAGATATCTGCCAATGAAAAAAGCTCCTGTTTTAAATTTTGTTTGAATTCAGAAATTTAAATCTCATCTATTGTTTCCTGTATTATTTAAAAAAAACACCCATATTAATTATTAAATTCAATATGTAACTCTTAATAGAAATCTACATTAATCATCTTCTATCAAATATCAATCTTTATTATCTTGCTTTTATTTTCTGTGTAGATATTGGTGCTGTGGTTGTTGTTGATAATACTGGCGTGGGCATTTTACAAATGGCAACCAGTTGAACAGGTGTCTGCTGACGACGACTGCATTATGCAACCTGCCATTGCCAGTTGTTGTTGCTAGCTTTTGCTGGCTTTTGCATAGATCAATGCAAACATGTTGCACGAGCAATATGGGCAAAACACCGCTGATAATTAGCCAGGAGGCTAATCAATTGAATTTGGAGAGAGATAGATTTGCTTGGTAACTCACCCCCACTTGGTAGAGAATGCGCAGATCCTTGTCGCCTCCTCCGTGTCCTCCATGCCTGTTGCTATTGCCGCTACGATGTTGCTGCTGTTTCTGCAACATTTGCCGCGCATGTCGCCGCGATTCCTGCTCTGCCGTTGGAATATTAACCACTGTTAGCGTAGTTTCAGGCTTTACTGTACTGGAAGAGGAGGCTACACCTCCCAAAGATCCTGCGGCAGCTAGATCCTTGGCATCATAGACAGTGTATTCCAAAGCCTTGTGCTTATCCTCCGCCGCCGATGAAGTCGGTGTGATCTCAAACACTTCCAGAGGCAGTCGCGTGCCGCCGACAGTTGCAACGGCAACGTAAGATAGCAGCAGCAGCCACATCAGTGTCGCAGGCATGATTTATGTGGCTTTTAACTGGAACTCTGGATCTCTAGATCTTCGGATCTTTGGTGGTATCTCTTGCCAACCAAACTCACTCGCTGGCTATGATATCTGTATTTGCGGTTGTTTGTAATTGACACTACGGTGGATTTTGTAATTGAATTCGAATTAAAGCGAATCGAATCCAATCGAATTGAATCGAATCAGAGTTCTCGCTCTATCTCGCTTGCACGGCCAGAACCCATGGCTTAAACACACTCAAAAACACACACACTTGAACACGATCGAACACTACAAATCAGGTTTCAAATCGAGCTCGATCGATTGATTTGTGGCGAAAATGTCACTCGAAATTTTCGTGGCACTACAAATAATTATTTGGTGGATTTTGTGTTTTGTTTATTATTTTGTAATTCTACACCCGCGACGTCTGTCTCTCTCTCTGCTGGAAGCCTCGTCTTTCTTCGCTCCTGGCTGCTGTGTGCTCTCGGCTCGCTTCCGTTTCCGCTGTTCTGCGCTGTTCGTTGTTCGCTCGACCAACTTACTTTTCGAACTGATCAAACAGAAACTGAAAATCCAAAACCAAAAACGAACGGCGAACGAGAGCCGTTGACGCCGACGCCAGAGACGACGTCGCTGTTCGCGTCGCTGCCTGTGCGTGCGTGTTTTTACACAGAGCGAAAATAAATTGTATAAAGTACTTGGAAAATCACTGGGAATGGTAATAAATTTAAACATTTCAGTCAATTGGTAGATACAAAGAATGAAAACTAAAAAAAAAAAAATTTGTTTAAGAGTTTTTAAAAATATATTTTATATATATTAAAATATGTTTATATTTTAAGTGAAATTAATTTTATTAAATACAAGTAAAACTTTATAAGTGAAGAATCAGAACCTTGGCTTAAAAATGTAATTGTGAAAAGATAAGCGCAGTTAATTTTGGTGCATTTCTACTTGATAACAAACGTTATTATTTTTATTTTCAGCCAATTGGCTTAGGATTTAAATATAAAAAAAAATCCTAGTCTTGGCAATACACACTTTTCTCAGTGTAAAATCTGCTGCGACCGAGCTCGAGAGAGCATGAAAGAGAGCACATCGTTGGCTGGATATGAATGAATGAACATTTTGTTCTCTGGGCCATAGTTGTTGTTGTTTTTGCTTTTCCCGCTGGTGGTTGCAGCATCCATTTCTGCTGCTGCTGATGCTGTTGTGTGTGTGTGAGAGTATCTATGAGGTGCATCCGTACCGGTATAGGTGAGAGCGAGCGAGCGGATGGCAAGGTGTCTCTGGCTCGCGTGCTGGGCTTAAAAAAAAAAAATTAAAATAATACAAAATAACAAAAAAGAGGCCTCGCTTTTGCCGCTTCCGTTGCATCCTTTCGGACGTTTTTGCTGCCGTTGCCGCTGTTGTTTCTGTTGGCCATCGTCGTTGTGTTGTTTTTGTCATTGTTTCGACGGCACCGGAAACTAATTCCTGCTCCAGCCCCAACGACTTGGACTCCACCTCCTCCTGGTCGGCTCTCCCCATTCTCCATTCCCCGCTGTTTCTGCTCCAGTCTCATGTTCGGGCTTCGTTCTTGTAGCGCATGCCAAAAAAAAAGAAGAACAGAACGAAAAATCCAGAAAAGACTTTAAGCTGAAAGGAAGATCAGCCTTAAAAGCCGAAGCTTTAAGTTCCCTAAATTGAAAAAATTTTTAAAGAAAAATTGGTATTTATTTTAATACAAATATTATAAATTTCTTTTAAAATATAAAGGAAATACACTCCTTAGTTCTTCTGTTTTATGATTTATTGAATATATTTAAAAAATACACCCATCTGTTACATAAAACCTAAAATTTTAGTAAGAATGGTAATACCTTATTAAGTTTAGGGTATAAAGAGAGTTGTGAGAGTGAAGAGACCTGGGGGAAACGGTCTCCAACTCCAGCTCCTCCTCCGGCTTGGAAGTTCAAGCGAAAAACGCGCGCTGTTCGGCCGAAAGCCCGCCAATTTTATGGGCCAAACCCGATAAGATTTCATTTGTTTACGAGTTACCTTGAGACGAGCTCCAGCACCGGCACTACCAGCCACCAACAACAACAACAAAAACAACAATAATAAAAGGCGATATAGAAGCATTAAGCAGAAACTGAGAACTCCAACTGAAAGGCGGCCATTGTTAGTGGAGGTTTCCCTTTTTTTCCCTCTTTTCCAATTCGATTTTTAGCTAACGAAGACTCAAAACAACAGCTGATCAAAGAAACGTATCTTTTGCACTATTATTTGCAGGTAAAATGTACGCTGTAATTGGCCGAAGGCATGGCAAAATCCTCTCCGGTGATTTGACCCAAGGAAGCGGCAACTTCGCGGTCACCTGTCTGCTGCCAGTGATCGAGTCGTTCAACTTTGCCCAGGAGATGCGAAAGCAGACATCTGGCCTGGCCTGTCCCCAGCTCATGTTCAGCCACTGGGAGGTGAGTTACTACTGTACTGAAGTTTTAATTTCCTAAATTTATAACTAAGAAAATCTGGCAAGAAGAAACCTTATAGCTTTGAGGAGACCTAGAATACTAGGCTTAATTAATATTTATTACTTTGAATACCTTATTACCTATTTAGGATAATAAATGCGAGGTGCCTTTTCAACAGGTAGATAGATGTTTGTGGTAGTTGTAGAGGTCGTACTGTATCCCAGCACAGATTGATGCAGCAGCTGTTGCTCCTGCTGGGGCACAAGTGCAGCGCCTGTCGGACCATATGCCATGTGCGTGCCTCACTGTAGCTACCCTCACTCCTTTCCACAATATACACAGCGAAAAAAATTAATAATAGAATTGTCTTTAAATCTATGAGAATAATTAAGAAAACTATAAATATTGCCTATTTTTGTGTTAGATATGATAAGATTCAGTTATTTTTAAAGGGTGTTTAAGCATAGATTGATTTTTAAATCATTTATAATTAGCCTTAGTTACGTGATTTTCTCCCAGTGCATAGCTCTTTCTCCCCAAGATTATCGCCGACTGTCTGTGGTCAATAGAAATCTCAGCTTACGCTGCGCTCATGCCTTCTGTTACCTTCTGTTGAAGTCTTATAAGCTAAACCACAGGCAGCAGTAGTGGCAACTTGGCAACAGGCAACTGGCAACAGCAGCAGCAACATGGCAACAGCAGCATCAGAGGCAGCAACTTCGTTGGCAACAGTTGGACTGAAAGTTATATGGTCCATTTGAGGCTGCAGCTGTGTGCCATTCGGGGTAACCCAAAGCCCCAGACCAGACTTCTCTCCCTCTTGGCCAGAGTCTGTTCCCTCTCCTCTCCCCATTCGCCATTCTGACCTTGTCGTGGGCCACAATTAACAATGAAGTTGATGGCTTTTCCTTGGGATTTTTGGCCATTTGGTGGCTTGGCCAACGACAAACGGATGGACAAGATCGTCGGATGAGCTAATCTCAACATAAAATATTAATAAAATTGTTTAGCAAACAAAAAGTGGAGTTTAAAGCCACTGGAAAATCTTAAAAAGGTAGTAAGTTTACTGACTCAACAAAATATAATTTTAGTAAATATAAATAATTGTATATATTATTTTGGACAACCTAAACTCTCTCTATTTAATAACTCTATTCAAAATCTTGATTTTTCATTCCTATTAGTCTTTTTTTTAGTCGCATGTACAACTTATTTTCAATGTGCGTGCATTTTGAATTGGTATTAGTGCCTCTATCAGTGTATTTGAGTTAGTATTAGTGCATATCGCCCAACCAATCGATAACAACAAGTTTTTGTATAATGACTTCCGGCGATTTTCTATTTCTCAGCTCAAGTTTTGCCGGCGTCGAAGATGTTGTTGCCTCGTATAATTTCTTACGCATTTCCAGTGCCAGACAGCAGGAAAAGTGGAAAAGTGGTGGGAAAACTAAAGGGGCAATGCATTTAACAGAGAAAGAAATTAAAGTATAGCTTTTAATGCGAAATAAGAAACCTAAAATATACATTTTAAATATAAGGATTTTGTTTTTATTATTCTATCAAAATTGTCTTGGATTTATTTTTTAAGAAGAAACACTTCAATTTTATGCTCTCTGTATCGAGTCAATATCTGTTAGCCTTTATCTGTGTGTGGAAATCTTAACGGAAACTAGTTTAGCCGGCACAAGTGGAAAAGTATCTGAAAGATATTCGATTACAATTTCCATCATTATTCTGAAGGAAGGTAAAGCGAAAACAATTAGGATTTTGGCTTACCTTTCGCTCGAGCAATTAAAACGCTTTGTTTTTCAGCACTTTCCGTCCACGCCCACATGTGTGTTGGCCAGTGGCCTCCTCTCCCACCGTCCTCCTTTACACCCCCTTTTCTCCACGCCACCTTTTAACTTTGTTGTTTTTCTTTTTTACCTTAACTTACCTGCCAGGTGAGTGGGCAGGGCTCTTAGCCGTGGGCGCAGTTGTCACGTGCCCATAATAACAACGAAGGCGTCAACTTCACTCGAGTGGCCAACTTCTGGTTGGGGGAAACAAACGGGAAAAGGGCCCAGAGGTGGGTTGGGTTAACACAGAGAGAGAGAGAGAGAGAAAGAGAGAGAGGGGGTTAACGTTAACGTTCCCAAAAAGCCATTCCGATTTCTTGCCGCATCATGGCCCACAATAAGTTCGTTAAGCATCTCTGCATCATCGGCAGATCAACAGCCGCAAGAAATCATCTCCGTGGATGACCTTTTAGCTTGGAGCTGCTGCAAGATGAAAGATGCAACTTGGTAGCTGGGGCAACATGAAACATAAACCCAAAAGAACAAAAACTAATTTTCCATTTTCATATATCATAATTTTTTGTTGCCCTTGCCTTTAGGGTTTTCACTTCACGTAGCCAGCATTAAGATGGAGCAGCCTCAAGAGTATGCACTATGTGGGGACAGTGCGTGTCATAGTGAAAAGATGAAAGGGTTCTAAAGGGCTTGTTAAGACTTTCTTTAAAATTCTATAATTAAAATCTTGTCTATAAAATGTATATTATTTTCTGAATTCTTTCTTAGGTATTTATTTTATAAACCGAATTGCATTAAGCCTATGACTGACACTGTCTAACCGTCAAATATCTCTTTTTCTCTGCTGGCTACTGTCTTGCGCGCTTTTGTTATTATTTAATTTTGAGCTTCCTTTTGTTTTTTTTTCCCCTCCATCCATCCATCCATGCTGCGTGCTCCATGCTCCAGCTTCAATCCTCCGTCGACTGCTGCACTTCCCATCTTCCCAAAGACCCATCTCCTCTGCTGGCCACTTGATGAACCTGAAGATTGTTATTATGATTACGTGTGTGTGCAGGGGACAGGAAGAGGGTCAAGACCAGCAGCCTACCGAAAAATGAGAGAAAAAAAAAAACAAAAACAAAATAAAGTAAAATAACATAACAACTTTGGCTACTGGTCTTACTTTCGGCCTGTGCTCTCCTCCACTTTTTATTTGGTCTGCAGTGGAGTTGGAGTTACGGCTGGAGTTGGCGAGTTGCATATGATTTACCTTTGGTTGTTGTTATTTCTGTGGCTTGTCGCGCTTTGCATGCAAGACCTCCGTTCTGGAACTACTTCAAAAGCATAACAGGCCCGGCAACAACAAAACTGTGAGCAGAGAACCAAGACAAATAACAAATAATCTGATAACTCGTTTTGTATACCTGCCACAAGACCCTGTGTGTCCCCTCCAGACCCGACCCCCACCAAAGGGAAAGTCTACTACGCTGGAGACAGTCTGTTTCAGCGATGGAGGGAAGGTGGTCGGGGCGGAGTTGGAGGTTAGGCAGCCGTAGAAGGGAGGTGGTGCTGTTCAAGCCAAGGGGTAGGAGGATTGCACGGCAGTGCCCTAAAGTCTGCCTGGTGCGAATAAACACAAACACACACAAGTGCACAAGGAGAAATAAAGGGGGTAATCTAGATAGATAATATTTTAATTTTATAGATTTTATATTACTAAATTCCCAACAGAAATCGAACTAAAAAAGTCTAAAGTCTCCAAAAAAAAAAACGTAAAAATCATGATCTTACCTTTACCTTTCTAATATTCTATTATATTATTTTTTAATAGTATTTAATCTCTCTGTTCTGAGATATATCCATGCCCAGGGCAAGTGTTTATCCAAGTGGCCAAAAGGATTGCTGTTGTTGTTGCCCAACTCCTTTACCATTATTGCTGTTGTTGTTGGTCTTAAGTGGAACGTGGTTTGCATTGTCCGCTCGCTGGCTGTCAAAATGACGCTCATCGCTGGCCGCTGTCCGTTTGTCCGCTGTCCGTTCGCTGGAGAACGCTCTTAAAGGCCCAGGCCCCCAAGTCTACTCTCGTATAAAAGTCGACTCGACTCGAATCGAGTTATTCTCTGGGCCCGGTCTCTTTCACAGCAGTCTTTCAGCCAGTTTCTGGCGCGCGATAATAATCTCAACTTGGTCTTTGGTCGCGGACGGACACGGGGACCGGCGGACAGACGGACAGCCAGCGTATTTCGGTAGCTGCCGCGTAAATTACCTGCATACAAACCGCGCGCGGTCGGACAGGTAAACATACACACACACACACACAGGTACCACTCATAAGCACACACAGATACGAAACACGTGTGTGCCCAGAGAGATGGAGATACAGAGAGATATACCCTACCATGCCACACTATATTCGAAACCGAACCATAGCATGTGTCAGTATGTGTTGATGTCACGTCGTTTGCTTTTGGATTTTTGTTTTGGTTTTCGCGGCTGCTTCAATATTTTTCTTAATATTTTTACCTTTCGAGATGGGAGAATTTCGGAGGAGGTGAAGGTGGAGTTGCAGCGGGAAAGGAGGTGGGGGAAAGCCTTTGACTTGGCTGTAATCTGGAGCGTGGTGCTGAATTAGTGTGGATAACCACCTTTCAGGCAGGAAAAATACATGTATAAAGGCACTGGAAAATGGTTATTTGTGATCTTAGAATAATTATTAATGCAAGTTTAAAGATAACGGAGTACTTGAAATGTTCTACACAAATTTCTTTAGTTAATATTATCCAAAATGCAGGCCTCTGTTGCTTAATTTATTTACCACAATATTACATATTTTATTTTTAATATTCTCATTAAAAAGTATGGCAAATATCACAACATTTTACCACATATTTTTGGCAGTGCACTCATCTGCCTGCTGCTGGCTGGCTGCTCATTTGTCTGGCCCGGCTCAGACGCAAGTTCTGCGCACTTCTGGAGCACTTCAGCTGCCGTAGGGTCTCCTTCGTTTTGCGGGGAGTGGAAGGGGACAACAGCAGTGTAGGATCGAATGGGATGCTGCTGCGCATGCGCAGAACCATTTGCAAAAAGGATGGCAAGAGCTCAGAGAGATAGAGAGAAAGATCGTGTGTTCTGTGTTGTGACAGGGATTGTGAACTGCGAAACTGGGATTGCCTGGCCTTACCTTGTCGAGGACTACTACTTGGTGGCTCCCTATAGTTCTTCCTTTCCCCTCGATCCCATCCCCCACATGGCGTTGTTGGTTGTTGTTAAACAAGCGAAACTTTGTGCCCGATAATGATCTACATGGGATTGCGAAGAGATGTTCGAGGGCCCGCAGTTTAGCGTAGTGCGAACAGATGGCCCAGAACATACACTGCTCAGAATTTGAAGTATATTAAGGTGTTACTACTATGAGAAACTACTATAGTTCTCTTTTATAATATTGTTAAGAGAATTTAACAATTTTAAGTTGTATAAAATTGCGATTTATTTACAGAAGCAAATCGTGAAATGTAATTATTTCTGTCTAAATAATACCTCTAGGATTTCCTTAATTTCTTTAACTACGAATTGATTAATTTCGAATTATGATCTTTTTTTATAATACTTATTTACTGTGCAGTATAAAGTTTCTCTGGCTGACAAAAGGCCAAATGCCTCTGCGTCTCAATCAGTTTCCGAGCAAGCTCTCGTCTCTCAGTCATTGATGAGGGAAGCCAGGAGGCATACAAACTGCGGCCTGGTAGAGTGGGAGAGCTCACTGGGTTTGGGTTTTCCAGTGAACCGCTCGACACCCGCCCGCTGAGACAACGAGTCCTTGCTAGGAAAAAAAAAAGGAAGAGAAAACAATGCAGATCTCACACCAGAGATTCTCAAGTGGTTCGCCTCGCAGGAGGCAATCATCAATCAAGCGGAGGGAATGGTACGCTCTTCACGCCATTGAGGATTCTGCGTATCCTGGCGCGCCTGCCTTATCACGTAACGCGCAATGTGCGTGTCCCTGCGTCCTTTGAAAGTCATTAAGCGACGAGTCCTTTGTCGCAGCAACCTCTCGAGCCCAAACAATGGAGATGTGAAAATGCACGCTTTCCCTGGCAAAGGGACAAAGGGCTGCGCCGTAAAATCCACACAGCCCAAGAGCCCAACCCAAATTCCAAATCCAAATTCAATCCAGTGCGAGGCGCAGGCGCATAGACGCAGCGACGCCTCGTCCTTTTGTTTCGTCTCAAGTGCTTAAATTATTTCCCGGAAGGCCATTCACCATTTACTTATACTTTTTTTTTGTTTTTTGTTTTTATTTACAGGTGATCGACATCGATCCCTTCTGGCTGCCCACCACCGAGGAGGAGCTGATGCATTTCGGCGAGAAGGCGGACTCTGCAAACAGGGCCAAAGTCTATATGGACAGTGTTCGACGGAGAAAGGGACTCTTCGTAGACGAGCAGGTGGTGGAGCATGCGGAGAAGCAGCGCACCCTCTCCAAGAACAAGTGATTTGTGAGTTAAATTGGATTTGTTTTCAGTCTGGGAATAAATATAATTAAAAAAGGGTTCCCAGAAATCTGTTTAATTTTTGTAAAATAAATTATGACTACCAAGTCAATTGTAATAAATTTGTGTAAACTTTTTTAATTATTTATTTTAAGTATATATAAAAGTAAAAAAAAAGGAGTGACGAATAATAAAAAGCTTTAAAAATATAATAATATTGTTAATATATTGTGACGCACTTTTTTTTTGTTTACAAATAGTTGGCAAGTCAGGCTTTATGTCTTTTTTTTAAGGAACACTTTAAAAGCTAAATGCGAGGGCTAATTAATATTTATCCACTTCTTCTGGGTTTGCGGGCAACCCCTCCTTTTTGGCAATAAGGCCGCTCTCTTTTTCCGGAACTTCCGGTACGGCAAGTGAGTTTTTGCCCAGCACAATATGGATACAGCTAATAACGAAATATAAATCAAATTAAAATAAAATAATTAAAGTAAAATAGAAGTTAAGTCACTTACAGTATCAACAGGAAGACAGCCATCTGGGTGGCAATGGTCAGCAGGAAGACACTTCCGCCATAATTTGTATTTTTGGTGGCCCGATAAAGTTGCGAGTAGCACACACCGCTGATGAAGGGCACTGCATTATCACAAACGGAGAGCAGGGCAAACACCTTGCCACGCTCCGATGTGGGAACTATCTTGGAGGTCATGGCCCGGATAATGGGACCCACAATTGGTCCGAGACTGCAGACCACGGCACCGGCATAAAGGAGATCCGTGTTGCTGGCAAAGTAGAAGAACAGCCGAGCTATCGAGTGAGCCCAGGCTCCGATGAAGATGATGATCTAAAGTTAGAAATTAAAAAAATACAAATTATAAATTTTATAATTATAAGTTATGCTATTTTTATGAGATAAGGACTTACCGTATCCCTCCAATTCAAAACCTTGTTCATCAACGGCACTCCCAGCAGCATGGCAATCACATAGGCCGACGACTTGAAGGTCTTGAAGCTGCTGTAGGAGCTAACCTCCCAATCGAACTTGTCCAGGGTGTACATGTACAGGTAGCTGCCCTCGTCTCGCTGGAATGTGTACAGGGTCATGCTGATCAGCAGGATGATCAAGAAGCTCCTTCTATGGGCCCTGCGAGGTTTCACCAACACAGCAAAAGAGTCCTTCACATGCTGCTTGTCAAAGAAGTCTCCCCAAAAGCCACACCAGCCAAGCTCCCTAAGAGATCGCTGCCTTGGGGTGGTTTGCCACTGAAAGGAGGATAAAGAAATTGAAGGAATAAAAAATATAAAATATAAAACTGAAATTTAGTGAAATACAAACTCACCTTTAGAGCAAATAGAGTGTAAATAATGGCCATTGCTAGCAGGGAAGCATTCACAGTAAACATGTCTGCATAAGACTGATCAAAAACATTGTAAAACAGGTGCGAACCCAAAGCCACACCTGTGGGCATGGCCGTAAGGTAGACCACATCCAAGATAGTCACACGAATAGTGCGCTGCTGCACCGTCGAGATGTCCGAAATGTAAGCGAAGCACGAAGCAAAGATGGCCACATCGGCGCCCGTTAAAGCTGAAGGCAGAGTGGCCGAGAAGATAATATTCTCCACTGGCCATGTGGGCATCCTGGCATTGACCACCACCATTGAGGAGTAGATAAACTTCCCCACCAAACCCATGAGCAAGGGGAACTTCCTCCCACGACGATCCGAGAAGGAACCCAGAAACAGGGCCAAGAGAATGGGAAAGATGTGAGCCGAAATGTCGTTCCACTGCAGAAACCAGGCATTGGTCTGCAGTGACTGATCCTTGAATTCCTTGTTCTCCGGCCGATTGAGATTGCGGCAAACCTCTTCCGTAAAGTTGTTGTTCACCCGACAGGACTTGTACAGATAGAAGTTCTGCTCCACCACCGAGGTGATCATGAAGGCAAACATGTAGAGGAACATGGTGGGCTCCACGGAGATCGATGTTACCACGTGCCATACCCACTGGCAGGCGCTGCGAGGCCCTGAGCTTTCCCGCTGCACCTGGACATCGCCGGTGGCGCTATTCTCACTATTTTCACTGTGCTGGCTGATCTGACTATGGCGTCGCGGGGCCGCATTTCCGGCCGGTGCCTGAAAGTATGTAAGCTTTTTTGATACATCTTCCATTTACGGTTAATTTTGATGTTGGCAATGACAACTTTTAAAAAGAGAGAGAGGCAAATGGAGAGAATAAACAAGGCATTATAAACTTGTTTTTTTGGTAAAGCTGAACTAATGCTCTTACAAGAGTACAAGGGTTTTTTAGTGCTTTTAAAAGGGTTTTAAAGTCCTTTAAATATATGATATATTATAATTTAATGTCACAAGGATTTTTATATGAGAAATATATATTAAACCAGAAACCAAGAAGCAACGAACAAAGAAATAATGATCTAATAATAATGGAAATATATTTATTTAAAGGTTTTTAAATAATTAAAAATTTTAATAAAATGTTAAAATAATAGAGCGTCTTAAAAAAGTCTAATGAAATAATAGAAGAATTTATATAATAAAAAACTTATTTATAAATATTTCTTTTAAGCGTTTATGTATAAAATAATATAATTTCATTCAAGATTTAAATATTTTGTAGGTGTTTTCATCTTTAACTCAGTCTTTGCTAATTCAAAATTAATTTTAATTTATAAGTAAAAATTAAATGCTTGTCACACCACAGTTCTTATTAAAAATGTATTGCTTATGTTGGTTTATAATATCAAGTTCCAAAGTTATTTTCTATGGAAAATGTATCTGGTTTAAATTTGCATAATCAGCTGAAAATATAGATTTCTGCACATATTTTCCATAGAACATGTAATGTGAGAGCATTCAGCAGTCGCCAATCGCTAATGAACACTCTTACCGCCACATGTTGACACGCTTTTATTATGAATTGTAAACAATACGTTAGATGGGGCAGTTACTTGAGTTACTCTATAGTTAGGAATTATTATATTTCATGGATAATTCCACTATACATTTCAATTGAATATATATAAAAATATTAGTAAGGTAAACAAACATATTGCCGCATGCCGAAGCCACCACCACCGCTGATTTCAAGGTCACTCAGAGCATGTTTCTTTAATTTTGTTTTTTGTTAGTTTTGTTATATTCTTTTCCGTTTGCTCTCCGCGTTATAGAAGTATACGTAATCAATCAGAGAATCGCGTTTGTCCAATTTATATGAATTCGTTTCGACTAGATAGAGTTAGAACTAATTGCATTAGAGCTATTAGGTTTTTTTTTTAGTAATTTTGTCACTGTCAGCCGGCATTCTGCACTTTAGGTATAAATTTAGACGCGTCTCAAAACAAAAACAAACCGTTTTGCGAGTAAAACAAAAAAACAATCTCAATAAACGCCACTCACCTCAGCGCCGCTCATTTTTACTCTGCGCACACGCGTTCTCTCCGGCGCTGTTAAATATTGTTTTTCCTAAGGGTTGTGAAAGCTTTTATGCTGCTCAGCTTTCAGAATTTGAATTTTAACCGCCAAGGGGCAGGGGTATTATCAATAGATTAGCTTTAAAGTGAATATTAGCATGACAATTCAATTAATTTCTATTACTTTGGGGGTACTTTCTATATATAGTATATCTGTTTGGAATGCAAAGTTATACTAACACGTGTAAAATCTATTTAAATTGAATTACAATTCAATTAACCTGTGACGATTTGGGTTGCAAATTTGTCATTAGATTAGGTTCTTTAGTATATGTTTACCCTAGCAACTGTGTGTATGGAAATCTAAATAATCTCTGACGGTTTGTTTTGCTTTTCCCAGTCTATCTTAACATCTGTAAAACTGCAGTTCTTATCACTAGATTACTTTTTAAATATTTAAATCACAAGTCAAACAAATTTATCAACAGACTGGGTTAATACACTAACTAAGGGGTATCTTAATTCAGTCAAATTTGCATTTATAAAAGAATATCTACTAAAGTATTTATTGCTTAATATTTCCCCTGCTAGTTACTTAATCTCTGTCAGTCTGTTTGACCAATTAGTCACTAGATTAGGTTCTTCAATTTATTACTTAATTTGGAATTTCAATTTTTCTCAAGTGGAGCTCTTATCGAAAGCTAGCTATTTTTATAATATTTACATTACAATTCCATTAACCTTCGAGGCTAGGCGTTGCAATTTTTTTGGAAAGATTACCTTTCAAGAGGTATATCTTTACTGCAGAGTGTCATTAATCTCAGACTGTTTGCCTTGCAAATTGCTTCCAAGATTAGCTTTATCTATGTATAGACATTTACTAAGATAACGTCTTGGTTTATAAACCAAAACCTATTAAATAATTCCATTAATTAGGCCCACGTGAAAAGGCGTTTCGCTGAGTTCTACCTAGAGTCTGGCTGTATTTAATGGGATTTCCTAACTTTCTTATCGAATCTCACTTTTTGTACTAGAAGTTAAATTATAGGCTAATTAACTTGAGATTTACAGCAGTGCCTACCATTTGACGCGATAACTGTTTCAGGGGGCTAGTTAAATAGCTATATGAACTTTTAATAAATGTTTTGATTTATTGGCTTCCCTATAGAATCGTATGTTTTATTTCCGCTTTTATTCTAGCTGCCTTGTTGCGTTTTGTTTTGTTTATTAAATTTTAATTCATAACACTGCACTCATTTTGAACTGATAAAAATTAAAAACAAAAATATATTTATTTCAACTGCGTGGATGCGACTTATCCGCTGAATTGTTAGCCGGCAACTGAGAGCTGAAAGGGCAGTCTCAGTCCATTCAAAATCGGCTTATCAGTCACTAAAGCTGATACTGTGTCTCTCGACTGCTTTCAATAGCTGCGACTTTAATCGTTATCGTTTTTATACCCTTGCAGGGTATTATAATTTCAGTCAGAAGTTTGCAACGCAGTGAAGGAGACGTTTCCGACCCTATAAAGTATATATATTCTTGATCAGCATCAACAGCCGAGTCGATCTAGCCATGTCCGTCTGTCCGTCTGTCCGTCTGTCTGTCTGTCTGTCTGTCTGTCTGTCCGTCTGTCTGTTTCTACGCAAACTAGTCCCTCAGTTTTAAAGCTATCTGAATGAAACTTTGCATATAGTCTTCTATATGCTCTCACTGCTATATATGTCGGAACGGGCCGGATCGGACGACTATATCATATAGCTGCCATACAAATGTTCGATAAATTTTTAGAAAAAAAATTTATAACTTGGCTGTTTTTCAACATATGTGCACTATTTTTGACATATGACCATTTTATAGTATTTCTGAATTTTGGTAAAAATTTTATAAAAATCGGACGACTATATCATATAGCTGCCATAGGAACGATCAGGAAATTAATAGAAAAAAAATTATAACTTCGTTGTTTTTCAAACTATTTTTTTCTACTCTGGGATATAAGCTTATTTTATTAGTTCAGAATTTTGGTATAAATTTTATGAAAATCGGACAACTATATCATATAGCTGCCATATAAACCGATCGGTAGGTGTAGGGAAAATGTAAAACTGGGAATGTAAAACTGTAACTGTCAAACTCTCAACATAATAAGTATAGGTAAAATGCAATGAAATAATATCTGCAAGGGTATACAAACTTCGGCGTGCCGAAGTTAGCTTCCTTTCTTGTTTTTATTTATTTGGCTGAGCACTTGGATTTTCCCATCAGCTGGTTGGTATTTATTTTAAAACTGCGATTTCGATTACTTTGATTTAAGTGAGACTGTACACGAGCTGGTAAAAATATTTTAAATATTTGTTTTCTTTCTTTCAGGTTTACTTTTATATGTGAAATTGGAAAGGATATGGTTAGGCCTTGGCTTGTATTTTTATTTAGTAAGCTAACAAAGGCCTGGATTTGAGTAAACCTTTCTACAAAAATAAAGTTATTTATGTTTTATACAAGCTGTAGTTATTGTGAATGTTTTCTGAAACTTAAACAGCCCAAAGGTATGCCATAAGTATGATTTACTCCGAAAAATATAAAATAAAGGCATAGTTATGGGATAATGCGTGAGTTGAGCTTAAAATAAATACAACAAATAAATGGTTAAAAACTATAGGTAACATACAAAAATATTTTAATCTTCTAATTTTAAATTAGGCCCTAAACAAAGCTAAAATCAATCAGAATTTTATGAAAGCATTAATTTTGACACAAAAATCCTTTTAAAACTTGACAAAAAATCTGATAAGTATAAGATATAATAAGAAATTACCGCTTAATCCTTAAGCTGCTTATCATTTTTAGCCTTAAAAAATTATTTCAGAGTTTTTAGACTGCATTTTTAAAAAAAAACCTTTAAAAATGTAAATAATGTTTATATATTTATTTAAAATTACTTAAATTAAAATGAGTACCTGATAGAAAAGTCTGCTTGTTTTAGAAAATACCTTTGTGAAATTTATTCCGCATTCCCAGGTGTGAGAATTACTCTTGTTTAGCAGACTTTTATTTCTCAATCAATTTCTCTGTTCTCTTTGTGCAAATTCCCTGCGAATGTTGCGAGCAAAACAAAGACCAGAATTATAGCTTCCATCCGCCAAGCGCTCGGCGGTTTTCCCGTTGGCTGCTCTGGCTGGGTACCCTCTGGCGCTGCAGGGCTTCCCGGTGGCTTGGCCTGGAGTGCTGCCTCCACCTCCGGCTGCTCCCACCATCGCTGGCCATGGGCAAATGGTAATTGGAGCTGCTGTCTAAGTCCGCTGCTTCCCAAGCGGTCGGTAAACTGCAAGACGATCGAATGCGCTGGCTGCCAGGGCCACCCTAAAGATTGCGCTGCTTCCCTGCCACCTGGGAGACCCCCGAAGGGGTCCCTAGTTTCAACACTAAGCTTTATTTGCATTGCTGAGAGCAGAGCAGTACAGTAAAGTCAGGGGATAAAGGGAAGAGTGAGGAACCTTAAAATATAGTTAAAGTTAAAGAGAAATTTTCTGGATTTTAAATGCTTAATTTTCTTTGGAGCCACTAACAGTTTAATAATATTAAAAAAATATATATAAAATCTACAAATGTAGACTCTAAATTGTGGTAATTTCTAATTTAAATATTTTGTTATACCTGAAGCTCACTGTACCTGTCTATCTTAATGTCAGCTTGCCTGGCGACAACTTCTCAGCAGTCACCGCTCTTGGTTAGTTGGTGCCCATCAGCGGCACGCTTCGGTTCGAGAAACGGTCTCCAAAACTTAGTATCTTAAACATAGGATAAGCCCAGACATATAATGTCCGACTCTGATAGCAAGTTGATAGATGTGGAGGCACCACAGCCCCTGGAACAACCTGGAGAGCAGCACGAGCTGCAGTTGGTGGGGCCTATAGGTGCCACCATCGAGGTGCCCAGCCTGGACAGCACTCCTAAACTATCGAAAAGAAACAGTTCGGAGAGAAGTTTACCCTTAAGAAGCTACAGCAAGTGGTCGCCCACGGAGCAGGGAGCCACACTGGTCTGGCGGGATCTCTGTGTGTACACCAATGTGGGTGGCTCCGGGCAGCGGATGAAGCGGATCATCAACAACTCGACGGGGGCCATTCAACCGGGCACTCTGATGGCTCTAATGGGCTCGAGGTAAGCCGGCCAAGAAATCGATATATCCCCGAGTCTCAGTGGCAGAGTTCATCCAAGTGGAAAAGAACACGATGCCCAAAAATGTGCCAACTATGTCAAGATGTTGGATTTACACTTGTGATTATCAAATACAGCGATAAGATTCCATTAGAGATTCCTCAGTAAACCACATCTCATCTCTCATTCACAGTGGCTCCGGGAAAACAACACTTATGTCGACTTTGGCCTTTCGACAGCCCGGTAAGTGGCGCGTAGTAGTACCTAGTAGTTTCCGATAAGATAGCTTATCCATTAACCATTATCTCATTATCTCGCCACGATCTGCTCCATTTGCATTGGGATCTGGGATGCAGCCGGGACTGTGGTTCAAGGCGACATTCTGATTAACGGCCGGCGCATCGGGCCCTTCATGCACCGCATCAGTGGTTATGTCTACCAAGATGATCTTTTTATTGGATCTCTGACAGTGCTGGAGCATCTCAACTTTATGGTGAGTTTTGTGTACTTTGTGTATCTTTAAAGAGCGACTTATGTTCTAGAAACTTCTCGAAATAAATTTTTCTCTTACCCATTCAGGCCCATCTCCGCCTGGATCGTCGCGTGTCCAAGGAGGAGCGTCGCCTCATCATCAACGAGTTGCTGGAGAGGACCGGTCTCCTCTCCGCTGCCCACACACGGATTGGCAGCGGCGATGACAAGAAGGTTCTCTCCGGAGGAGAACGCAAGAGGCTTGCCTTTGCCGTGGAACTGCTAAACAATCCAGTAATCCTGTTTTGTGACGAACCCACCACCGGTCTGGACTCCTTCAGTGCCCAGCAGCTGGTGGCCACGCTGTATGAGTTGGCCCAAAAGGGCACTACCATTCTGTGCACCATCCACCAGCCCAGCTCGCAGCTCTTTGACAACTTCAACAATGTAATGCTGCTGGCCGATGGAAGGGTGGCCTTTACGGGATCTCCTCAGCATGCTTTGAGCTTCTTTGCCAATCATGGATACTATTGTCCGGAGGCCTACAACCCAGCAGACTTTTTAATTGGAGTTTTGGCCACCGATCCGGGCTATGAACAGGCCTCGCAGCGTTCTGCTCAGCATTTGTGCGATCAGTTTGCAGTCAGTTCGGCGGCCAAGCAGCGGGATATGCTGGTGAATCTGGAGATCCACATGGCACAGTCTGGGAATTTTCCCTTTGACACGGAGGTGGAGTCTTTTAGGGGCGTGCCCTGGTACAAGCGGTTCCATGTGGTCTGGCTGAGGGCCTCGCTGACTCTGTTGAGGGACCCCACCATACAGTGGTTGCGATTTATACAGAAGATTGCCATGGCTTTTATCATCGGCGCCTGCTTTGCCGGAACCACGGAGCCATCGCAACTGGGAGTGCAGGCGGTGCAGGGTGCATTGTTTATAATGATATCGGAGAATACCTACCATCCCATGTACTCTGTGCTGAACTTGTTCCCCCAGGGATTTCCCTTGTTTATGAGGGAAACACGTTCGGGACTGTATTCAACAGGGCAATATTATAGCGCTAATATTTTGGCCTTGGTGAGTACTAGAATTTTTATATATTTATTTATTTTATTTAAAAAATGTTTAGAATAAGTTCTGTATTACTTCTTAAATAAATAATCTTACCTCTCTTCATTTATTTACAGCTACCCGGAATGATAATTGAGCCCTTTTTGTTCGTCATTATTTGCTATTGGCTGACGGGTTTGAGGTCTACATTTTATGCCTTTGGAGTGACTGCCATCTGTGTGGTGCTGGTAATGAATGTGGCCACAGCCTGCGGTTGCTTTTTCTCCACAGCCTTCAATTCGGTTCCCCTGGCAATGGCTTACCTGGTGCCCTTGGATTATATATTTATGATAACCTCTGGTATTTTCATTCAAGTGAAGTGAGTGTTCTTGTTGAGGTAATTTTTGAGTCCTTTGTTATAAAAGAATGCCTTCATTCCCAGCTCCCTACCCGTGGCCTTTTGGTGGACGCAATTTCTCTCCTGGATGCTGTATGCCAATGAGGCCATGACCATAGCTCAGTGGTCCGGAGTGCAGAATATAAGTGAGTTCTAGGAAATTCTTCCATTTACTTGAATTCAATATATTTGTGTAATTGCAGCCTGCTTCCAGGAGAGTGCCGACCTGCCCTGTTTCCACACTGGCCAGGATGTGATGGACAAGTACAGCTTTAATGAGAGCAATCTTTACCGGAATATATTGGCCATGGTGGGTTTGTACTTTGGCTTTCATCTGCTGGGCTACTATTGCCTGTGGCGACGGGCCAGAAAGCTGTAAGAGCCCTCGATTGGAGTGCTGTAAATATATATAACAACTACGATGCTATTGATTTGATCTAATAAATAATTTCTAGACTGTAGAGTTTCCAAATTAATAGCGCCATTTATTAACACATTTTGTTTTTATATTTCTTTCGGTTGACAATGAAACACTTACATTGACGGGGGGTTTCTTATACTTGGTTGGGCCTTATCTTCACTTTCAAACTGAACATCAAAGCTAGTCAACATCGATTCGGATATATAGATTCACTTATATATAAACTATAAATATATATATATATAGGATGTACTGCGCAATCAGTTAAATCATAGTTCGTAGCTGTAGGCATAGTCAAAAGGTGGCGGCCGAGAGGCTTTCGTTAAATTTGCGAGTTAAAACTAAGTAACAAAAGGTTATAAAATAATTTATGCATCCTTACATTTTCTTCATAGAAATCACAGCGAGAATTTTGTTTGTTTTTCTTTGGTTTTTCGCATAATTTATATATATATTCTGCATCAATTTAAATATTATAATTCTATTTATATATATATAGTTATGATGCTTTCAGCAACATTGAGACATACAGACATTGAAACACATTTAACGTTACACATAAACGATGCCGTTTTAACATTTAACGTATTTTGTATTTGATACTCATTTAATATTACCTTAGGCCTTAGAAAATATCATTTGTGCAACAGTTGGATATAGATTTTATGTTGCTCTTTGTGTTCAATTGACAGATCTCTGGTTTTGGTAATGAGAACACCAGCCAAGGACAGCCGGAAAAATTTAATTTAAGGATATGGTAATGCAGGGAATAGATATTTCCAATGAGTTGTTAATGGGTGCTGTCCAAGAGCTGGGCTTAGAAGTGTTTCAAGGGGAATGCAATGTATATTTTAGAGATTTTCTTAGTTGGTTGGTTACTTTTTATATTGAAGTAAAATAAAATTTTAAGGAGTTTAAGTATAGTAAAGACTGTTGCATTCCCCTTCACAGATTTAATACTTTCTTATTCGTTTTAGCAAAAACAATTAAATTCGATTTCTTTCCACACACACTTATTCCTTTTTAATTTAATTTTAATTTTCTGCTGCATTGGCTGCCATCTTACCTACTTACGCACATAGGAACCTTACACACCTACACTCATTGCCAAAAGAGGACTTTCATCCACCCTCCTTTCACTTACAACCTATCGAATGGCTAACAGTTCTAGCTCTTAATAATCAATGCTCTTTGGTACCCCGTTGAAGTGCAATACTTTGCTTTCGTACTTTACTTTTCTGAGTGATATGGAAACGTTTTTGTTTATTTTGGTGCCCTGAAACACTAACTGAGGAACAACACGTAAAGCTACAATAAATGCGAGATCATACAATGGGGGGAAGGGAAGAGTTGCGGCTACGAAACGAACTTCTATAAGTTGGGAAAGTTAAAAACAATGTTATAATATAACATGGGAAATTATTTATTTAAAATAAATATTTATTTGGAAAAGAAATGTTGTCAAACCTTTAAAAGCCTTTGTAACTGAAGATTCTAATATATTTATTCTACTTTATCAAGAAAAAGTGTATAATAACCTTGAAATTCGTTTAATATTATTTAATTCCAACTTATAGAAGTTCATCTGTACCGAATACTGGCAAGCCCAATCAATCTACAAGCTAACATTCAACCTAACCCTATCCAAAAACCAATAACCACTATCTCTACCTTTTACTACTACCTTTCCTACTTCTACAATACCATCTAAGCCCTCCAGATTTGTACATATTTACACGGTTGCCTGCGCATCCTTTACGTGCTAACATCTTGAAGAAGTCCGGTCCTCGGGCTACTGGCCCCCCCACCCGTGCCCAGACCCAGCGTCGATCCACCGCCAACATTCGTGCTGCTGCTGCTGCTGCTGATGAGCACCATGCTCCTGCTGTTTGGAAGGACAAACACCTCGGTGGTCAACTGTCCAATGGGGCTCATGGACTGCGAGGTCTTGATAGGACTCCGGTTGGGTTCCAGCGTGGCCGTTCGGGGCTGCCAGTCCTGGGAGGAGGTCTCCGTGGAGGATTGACCGGGCACCGAGCTCTCCAGCGTTCCCGGCGCCGTTTGCGTGGAACTTTGGCTCTCGTTGGACAGGAGGCGCATCGTGGTGGAAGTGGTGCAGCTGGCTGCAATGGTGGTCACCGATCGCCGCTTCTTTTGCTGCGAGGAGCAGGTGGAGGATCCTGATGAGGAGGAGAACGGAGTGGCTGTGGTTGTTACCGTCTCTGTCACATTGAAGCTGACTATTGTATCCCTTTTCCGAAGAGTCGTGGTGGTGGACACGCTTTCACCACGGAGATTCTGTTGCTGTTTGTTGCTCAGATCCGACAGGCTGATGTTGTTCTTGAGCAGGATCTCTAGGTTCTCAATGGAATCCTTGAGGCCAATTTTCTCATCTCTGGCTATCTCATCCTTGAGTTCCGCCACCAGAGTCCTTGGCGGAGCCGTGGGCGTCGCCAGGGATTTACTGGCGCCCCCACACTCCGAACAATTATCAGTGGCCGTGGGATTCGAGGCAGGATTACCGCCGCGCAGGATGGCTGGCAGAGCTCCAATGGTGACCACACTGGAGCTATTGGAAATGCTGGGCGTGATGCCCGTGGAACTGCTCACCGTAGTGCCAAAGGAGGAGGAGATGTTGTGCTGCCGGCAGAGAGATTTTCTCCGCTGCGCCGTCAGGTTCTGCATATTTGAATTGAGATCGATATCCGGTGAGGGCAGCAGATCGTCTTCCTGCTCCGAAGGATCTTCCTTAACCGAATCCTGTGGCTTCTCCGTATCACTGGCTGGCTTCTCCGGCTCCTTGCTCAACGTCAGTGTCTTGGGTGGCTCAACCTCGGCCTTGGCAAGCTCTTCCTTGACTTCAATGGGCTTCTTGCCCTTGAGGAAGTAGGTGATCATGGAGCCCTTGCCTTTCACGTCCACACTGCCGCGGCAGGTGAGCTCAAAGCCACGTCCCTCCAGGATCTGCTGCGTCTCCTGTGTCACCTGGACAGGTGAAAGGAACACGCAATGGGGGTGGGAGAGAACAAGCAATAACATAAATTCCAACTGACAAGTTCAATGGCTGCCGCAGGAAGGCACAAGGAGCTGGCTCAGCTTTATTTATTCACCCGCGCCCAACCCTTGACTACATATTTCATGATAACACCCAGGACATCCAGTAGGAGTCCTCCAGTCGCCTGGGCACTCCCTATACGAATCCCAGTCTCCCGAAACTCGCCCGCTTAATAATTTATTTCTCTTGCAAATTTTTTTTTCTGCCTTCGTTTTATTGACAGCGCCGTCGACGCTCGACAAATAAAATCAAATGCGCATTTGTATCTGTATCTGTAGCTGTATTTGTATCTGTATTTGCACACATTTGAGCATCAGGGTGGTTCGTGGTTACTTTTGAAATTAAGGAATATATATGGGGTAAATGCCCATTTTCTAAAAATCTTTTCTTCTTTTTGCGACAAAATCCATATCGTATTAAAAATTAATTTAATTTACTTTTAAGGTATCTCTTGGAAGTCTTTATCCAACAAAAATCGAGCCACCCTGATGTAAAAGGTATCCTCATCTCGTATTTGTGTACCTATATCAGTTCCTTTTTTCCTTGGGGAAAAAGTTTCGTTGACACTAAAAACTTTCGCGCTGGAGTGGTCAGACCAGGTTGTTCTTGATTAGGTGGGCGTGGCTCCGTAAGCCGCCCACTCCTTTTTCAAACTTTCACAAAACATAAACATTTCAGCGTACAACTTTTGCTGGTGAAAGCGAGGCCGCGGCCAGCTGAGTGCCCACGATTAGCCGATGATTAAATCAAGATGCTTGGACTCACCTGGATGTGATCCACCAGACCCGTGGAGTCCATTCGCGAGGCCACATTAACGGCATTGCCCCAGATGTCATACTGCGGCTTACAGGCTCCAATGACGCCGGCCACCACAGGGCCAATATTGATGCCTTAAAATAGGGATAAGGCAAGGGTAAAATATATTTAGAAGTTTGATAAATTTAAATAGAAATTTTCGAAAATCAACAAAAGTCTATTGCAATTTGTCCCCGAGTACCAAAACTATGTAAATTTCATCAAATAAAGTTTTGTGCTAAAGCTTCCTCACCTATTCGCATCCGAAAGTTGTTAAAGGAGTGCATGTTGACCTCCTCGATCTTGTCGAACAGTTGTAGGGCGTAGTCTGCCATGGCAGTCACGTGGCTGAAGTTCACCCGGTCGCAGGTGTTCGCCGTGAGGCCGGATGCCGCCATGTAGGTGGCTCCCGTACTCTTGATTTTCTCAATGCAGCTGCGGGAAAGGGGTTAGCATAGAAGGTGGAGAGCAGCAGTTAGCGGAAATGGTCCAAACCCCAAAGTGGCTAAACGGAAACGGATGCTGGGACTCACCGGAAGCGCTCCTCGCTGAGCAGCTCGTCGAAGTCGGCGATAATCTCATTCAGCAGACGAAGGCACTCAACGCCCTCGTTGTTGCCCTCCAGTTCCACATAGAACTCGGAGAAGTTGGGAATGCTGGCGAACAGAATGCACACCGAATCGCACTGTTCGTGATACAAGTCCTGCAAGAAAGTTTAAGGAAATTTAATACAGATTAAAAATGGATTTAAATCCTTTATTGAACACAAACCAACACAATTATAAATCTCAGCTTGCCTTTGAATATTCTGATATTCAATTAAACACAAAATGAAATCAAATAAATTTCTCCTTTCAAGGGAAAGCCCAAAAATCCAATATTGGCCTAGTGAGATTTCTGCCGATCTCATTGGCTTTTGTATGGAGTGTGTATATGTGAACATCAAATGTGGCTAAGCTTGTTGAATTTGCATTTAATGCGGCAGACTGCCCCGCCCTGCCCGCCTCCCAGACTTGCCCCATTTACTGGCACATTGCCCGCCGCCTTGGAAACCCGTTGACTTTCCACCTTGCGGCAAGTGCAGTGAAATGATTTCAGGCCGCATACACGTGGTCACATCAGCATCGCCATCAGGATACTCAGCTCCTTCTCCCTCTTTCGCCCTAACCCACATTTCCCCTTAAACCTCCTGGTTTGTTTTCCAATCTGAGTCCTTTGCCTCGTCCCTCGCTTCTGGGGCTCCTCCACTTGGCGCAGATTTCACAGCCGCAAAGTTTTTTAATATGTTGAACAGTTTGCCAGCACGCCTCATGAATATATAGCCACTATATGTCTGAAATCGTGTACATACACCTAAAGTCAGCTTAGTGGCTATGCTAATGGTCTATTTTTTATTTAAATATAACTTTGGGGACACATTTTGAGCACTTTTTGAAAGCTTTATCAAGCAAATATGTTTTTATAGTTTTAGAAACTAATCTTTCGTCTTTAAAAAATTTTAAAAATATGAAAAAAAGATTTTTCAAACCTTTAAAAAATTTTTAATATTTTAAAAATCTCATAGAATATTTTAACACCTACAAGAGTCCTATATTTGTGAACTTCCTTCCTCAAAATACAATATAATACAATATATTAAATACATTTTATAATATTTCATATATTTAATAATATAACAAAACTTGTTGAAGCTGTCGGGGCCGTGGCAAGTACAAGTCCAGAAAATTCCCAATAAAAGCAGGCAGAGGTTTTGGATGATGTTGATGAGGAGGACAAACGATCCGTCTTCTTTCGAATTTATTTTCAGAGTAATAAAAGAGAGGTACCACTAATATGGCGACAGGTACATTTTCCCCAGAGATGCTCCCCTGGCGATATTGCCCCTTGTTCAGCATGAACATTCTCCCCCCCCTCGCAAGAGGAATACTTGCGATCTACGAAAGGGAACACCGTCCGGAGAGGATGCTAACCCTTGTGCGCGCCAGGATAGGCGTGCACAACCGGCTGCGGGATGGAGACATATCCATTGGCGTGGCGGGCCGCCGAGGTCCGGATACAGGCGCCTGCTGGCGCTGCTGTGGCTGCCGCTGAGGCCGAGAATCCGAGGGTGGGTTGCGCCTTTGTCGGGGCCGCGAAGAGCGAGGCTGCCCAGTGTGGAGGTGCAGCAGCGTGTGATGAGCCTCCTTGCCAGACGGTTCGCGCAGTACTGGCTAATTAGTACCGCGCGGAGCCGCTTCACAGCCGGCAGTTGGAGAAACCGTTGGCAAACCCTCAGAGCGTGGACTCTCCCGCAGACTCTGTATACATTGCTCCCGGATGAGCGACGAGGATTTCGGTGGGTCGTTGGAGCCATTGTATACACGGATCTACGTTAAAAACAGAGAAATGGATAAATATGAAAATGAAGTGTTATGGATGAGGATGAACAAGACACGTGGACGGAACGACGACGTTGGATGACACAACTTAGGACTAGTAAATGTCAATTGGAAGGACTAATCTATTGAGGAGTCACTATGGTCAGTGGGGCCGTCCATTGGGAGGCGAATAATTTTCGCAGCTGGTCGTCGGATGACGCCCCATGTTGTGGCGGTCGAAGGTAGAAAAACGCTCCAGGCGGGGTATGGATATGGACCTGACTAGCAACTCTGGCTTTGGATGTCAGCCGATGGGTACACCAGCCATCAGTCGTTTCGACTCGGATGAAAATGGCAGCCCCATACGCGTCCTGGTACTGCAATTTGGCTGCAGGATGGAAACGCACCCATGTCGGACTACGAATTTCCCTCAGGATTGGATACCCTTTCAAAAACTCTTGCCACTTGGTCACAAGGTCGGTGGGGAGTGGCTGATCCCAGCCTAGCTCCCGTAGCCAAATTTCCTGCATGAAAATCTTGGCTCGGATTACGAAAGGCGATAACCACCCTGCTGGGTCGAAAAGTTTGGCTATCTGAGACAAAACCTCTCGTTTGGTGTAGGCAGTTTGCAGGGGGGATCACCATTGGAACAAAAAAGAAACTATCGGATGTAGCTTGCCAACGGATCCCGAGAGTTTTCGCCGTGCTGGCATCTTCCAGCTCAAGGAAGTCTGCACTGACCAAATGTTCCCTCGGAATCGCTTGTAGGAGTCTTCTTTCGTTGGAGGTCCACTTGCGCAGTGGAAAACCGGCACTCTCGAGAGCCAGCCGAAGCTCTTTAATGGCTAAAACTGCCGACTGCCGAGTGTGAGCCCCTGCGAGCACATCGTCCACGTACATAAAATTCGAAATGATGTCGCTGGCCAAAGGATATTGGCCTCGGATGTCCTGAGCCAACTGCTGAAGCACTCTGATGGCCAGGAAGGGCGCACAATTTACGCCGAAGGTGACTGTGTCGAGTTCATTGTCACAGAGCTCACCGTATTTGTTGCGGAATAAGATTCTCTGAAAGCGCGTGTGATCAGGATTGACCCGGATTTGCCGATACATCTTTGTGATGTCCGCATTAAAAACATACTTAAAGAAACGCCATTTTAGAATCTGAATAGTCAGATCGGACTGTAGTACAGGCCCCGCATGAAGGATATCATTGAGGCTGTTCCCGTTTGATGAGGGATTGGAAGCGTTGGACACGACGCGAACCTTCGTCGTGGTGCTATCTGGTTTGAAGACAGCGTGATGAGGCAGATAAAAACTGCTAGAGTCGTCAGGGGAGACTTGGTGCATATGACCTAAGTCTAAGTACTCTCGAATGACTGAGTCGTACTGCTCCTTCAATGGAAGATCTTTACTTAATCGCATTTCGTTTCGGAGGTACTGAGCTAGTGCGATGGGTCTGGAATGTCCAAGCTTAATATTGTCCGGCTCTTTAAAGGGCAACGAAACAACATATCTTCCATCCTCACTTCTTTTGGTGGATCGGATAAAGTTCTCCTCGCAAACCGAGGTGGATTCCTTTACTAACTTCACTGGAACATCCTCCACCTCCCCAAATTTGGTGAGGATGCTGCCTGGTTTGGACTCGGTCACTGCTAATCGGGCTGAAAAAGAACAGATTCTGCTTATGGGACTCGTTGCAATAGGACCGCAAAGAGTCCACCCGAATATGGTCTCTTGACCAAGGAGTGTTCCACAAATATTGGAATGGGAGCCTCTGAGCATGATTGATGGCAGGATATCGGCACCAATAAGCACGTCAATCGGCGAGCTCCGGTAGAAATCTGGATCTGCTAGTTGCAGAGGTGGAAGATCCTTTAATGAATCCTCTGGTATAGTGTAGGATGGGAGATTCCCGGCTAACTGTGGTAGCACATACGCACAGGTTTCAATTTGGATATGGGGCTTGACGGGAGAACCTAGTCTGAATTGACAACGCTTACGGGGCTGAGCTGCAACGGAAAGGTTGACCCCTGAAACTTGCGCTTGGATGGACTCATAAGGCAACTTAATCAGGTTGAACAACCGTTCTGAGATAAAGGTTGCCTCGGAACCTGAGTCAATGAGAGCCCGTGCTGAGTATTTGATGCCCAAATGGCAAACTTCTATTATTGCCGTACTCAGGAGGACCCCTTGCGTGTTAACGGCAAGAAACGTTTGCACATTCGCTTGACCCGTCGATGGAGTGGACTGTATATGTTGCTGGATTGCTGTGGATGGATGGGACTGTTGGTCAGGCATAACCACTGAATGGACTGGCGGAGGGCCGCTTCGATGCAGGAGAGTATTGTGACGTCCACTGCAGGTGTAGCAATTATGCGTGCTGTTGCAGTCCCGGAGCAGATGCGTTCTTGCGAAGCAGTTCAAGCACAACTTCTGCTGTTTCACATGTCTCTCTCGATCTGCGACTGACATTCGCAAGAATAGAGGACATACACGGAGTGGATGGTTCTCTTGTGCACAGAGTTTACAGGATTGCGGGTTTACCGTAACTCTGTTTTCGAAGGTTTGGATCGACCGCGAGCTATTGTCAGCCCTCAGTGCCCTGGATTGAACGCTCGCGTTTGGCTTGAACTCCTCAATCGCCTCAAGCGTTCGATGACGATCTTTTAAGAAGGCCTGGAATTCAACCCAGAGTGGAACCTCTGACTTACTTAGCAGGGACTGTTCCCAAAGAGCCAACGTTAGTTTTGGCAACTTGGACGAGCACAGGAAAACAAGCAGGCAATCCCAATTCGTGGTCTCGACTCTTGCTAATTGCAGGGCCGTTAAACAACCTTGGATTGTGCTCTCTAAATGCTTCAAGGATTTTCCGCATTCCTGGGCAACAGAAGGCAAATTAAACAAGATCTTTAATTGGCTATTGACCAGCAGCCTCTTGTTCTCGAACCGATTCTGCAAGTTTCTCCACGCTGACTCAAAACCATCATTGGTCAACGGAGATAAGGCCACAATGGATTTGGCCTCGCCGCTCGTCTTCGCATTGAGATGGAACAGTTTTTCGACTTCTGAAAGCCGAGGATTGCGTATATAGATGGCGGAGAAAAGGTCCCGAAATGTGGGCCATTGAACATAGTCACCATTGAAAACTTCGCACTCGACTGGAGGTAAGCGACATCCGCCCTGAGACGGCGTCAGATTGGAGGACTGAACAGACTGTTGTGCGCGTGAATCTGCAATGATCTCATTGAGGCTTGCTGCGCACCGCTCGTAAACGGTATAACAGTCGTCATACTTGGATTGCATGGCTGTTATTTTGTCTTTGCAGGTTTGACTGGCCACAACTTCGGAGCACGTCTCATATTCCTTTTCCACCTTGTCCCAGAGGGCCCTG